GGAGAGAGAGAGAGAGAGAGAGAGGGAGGGAGGTACAGTCTTAGCTTTACTAAGAGTTTTACGGCATTTTTAACACAATAAGGATCATACAGGATAAAGCAGAAGAAAAGTAATGATGAATAAATGGTATGGTTGAACGCCAAAATTAGAGGCGTCACAAGAGAGTAACAAACAAAAAAAGGAGGAGAGAATTTTTTAAGGGCGATAAGTGTTTGGTATCTAGTACATGTTCTAAGAATGCCGAAGACAAGATTGCCCTGTCAGAATGGTATTGGAAACAAACTGGAAAAAGAAAACGAGGAAGACCAACTGGAAGCTATAGAGGCACAACAAGGGGTGAGGCAATCACCCAGGGCCTGGATTTGCCGAAATTGGAGGACGTGGCCAGGGACAGACAAGCGTGGCGTCGACTGCTCTCGGCCTGACGGTACAGGGAGAGAGTAAGTGAGTAAAGGTTTGATAGGAAAGAAAGAGCAAACTTCATCAGAGCACTCGTCGCTCGCCCAAAGCTCGTGGGTGGTTGGCGGGTGCTGTGGTGTGGTTTGCCTCTTCTTTCCTATCAAACATCTACCGTCATTATCCCCACCTTCTTCTTTGTTCCTGTTTGTTACTCTTTTATAACACTTGTAATCTTCTGACGCTCATTGGACCTTATGCAGTTGCGAGCGCTGTAAAATTTCTACTAAAACTAAAAAAGCCCACTGCTCTTGTCTTAGACTTAGAGCTCTGGGTGAACAGTCCAACCTACACAGTGATCAGTGTATCAGACAGTGGCATTTCAGCGATTTAAAAATGGTATGGGCATGTCACAAGATCCACAGGACTTGCCAAAACAAGCCTACATACTACAAGGAACCGTACAAGGAAAGAGAAAGAGAGGAAGGCAGAGAAGGAGATGGGAGGACAGCATGACGGAGTGGACAGGAAAGACGATGGGTGACAATCTGAGGAAAGCAGAGGACAAAAATAGATGGCGAGAGCTGGTTGTCAGATGCAGTGGTGCCCCCACGGTTGCCCCAACCACGGGATAGAAGAGAAGAAGAGAGAAGAGAGATAATTGCCCAGCAATCTTAAGAAAGCGCTGCGCGTTTTAACGATCGTCGTATAGTTGCGCGGAAATCTGAAGATTGCGTTTATACTTTATATTTTTGAAGAGCTCACAAGAATGTTAAAATTGCCAGGTATTAAACTTAAAGTTCACAAAGTACATTGACTTAATATTTTTGGAATATTTTTAAAACATTCACTGCCATCTTTATTCTTTTACTCACATCAAGGAACATCTACGTATATTTACAAAAGTGTTGAAATATGAAAATTAGACTTAACGTATGAAACTGAAGAGCCCACAAGAATGATACAATGGCAGGTATCAAACTCAAAGTTCACAAAGTACATTCAACTCATTTTATATTTTTTAATGATTTTTTTTATTCACTTCCATCTTTACTTTTTTACTCACATCACGGAACATTAACGTATATTTTCAAAAGTGTAAAAATATGAAAATCAAAATTAGAATTAAGATATGAAGCTGAAGAGCTCACAAGAATGATACAATTATACGATCGTTAAAACGCGCAGCGCAATCTTAAGATTGTCTCACAATTACACGATTGTTAAAACGCGGATCGGTAAATTGCGCGCAGAATATAATAATATACTGCATGGGGACACCGGAAACACCTCATATTAATTATGGTACTCGGTGAAAAATCTTCCTCAGAGGAGACTCGAATCGAGACCTGGAAACCTGTGCTTTGTGCGTCTATGGCAGACATTGTGCCCGTATCAGAACCACCTCCACCCCAGCCTGAACCACCATAAGCCCCAAAAACTCC